TCTGCGAAACGGTAAAAGTTCAGTTTTTTATTTGCTTGGAATTAAAGGAATAGACGCCTCTAAAGGGTACAAAGGTTTGCAACCAGTAGCGGATCCTCTAAGGATTTAAGAAAATAGGAAACAGTTTAGTGAATCCCTCAAAAAACGGTTCAGAAAGGTAATTGGGATGTATGAGAACGGGTTTGTAAAGGGATTTATGCTGTTGTAAAGAACGCTTCCAAGGATTCGTGCTGGTTGCACAGTCTGAAACTTTTTTTCGTTTATTATACTACCTTTTTTACAGTGTAGACTCACACGCCCCCACCCACACCCACACTCACACCCACACCCACACCCAACTATTTGTTAGATTCAAAGATGAGAGGAACACGTAAAAGAGTGTTGAACTCTTTCACCCAGTCAACAGATATACGAGCATGGACGCGACCTTGACGGCCAAATAATGAGACTGGAGAAAGAGATGGGTGTATATAAACAGAGTTATGCCATACACCTGGATAAATATATAGACCATAACCTTCGCTTACATAAAAAGCAGTGAGATGATCAGGTGTAATATCATCACCCAAAGCTGGAGCCAAAGTGGAAATGAACGGTTTACCATTGGTGGGAAAGAACAACTGGCCACCATCAGGATGATAATCGGAACTCCAAATGAAAACAGATGAAATATCCGATGACTTGCTTATATTTGAGTTAGATAATGATGCGGATTGCGACGGAAAGTTTCCATATCCAAGTAAATAGTGATTAGAATCAGTAGCAATAGCATGGTTTTTGCCATATAAACGATCTTCTTCCCAATAAATCTCCATCGATCCTTCAGTTGTGCCAGCTTCATTTCCCGTGTTTGGATCAAGTGCCCTCCATCCTTTTGTAGGCCAAGGAACTATATCAAATTTTCCGTTTTCTACGGTGACATCATCCGGAGAAGTAATCAAATAGCCAATATCTTTTAACGATTCATTTGTTGCTTCCACTAGGCGTATATCTTTCACTTTTACATCAGGAGGAATTATTGGACTTAAATAGTTTTCTTTACTGATTCCGCTCATTTCACTAAAATAAGACAACACAAAAATCATAAAATGTGAGATCATGGCAATAATTTCTACATTTCCAGGTGCTGAGGTTCTTGAAAAAAAAACTTTTATCATGGAGGTTTTTTAGTACAAAAAATCAATTTCAACAACACTTACCAAAATCAAATAAGGAAATATTAACACAATGATTATTATTATGGATTTTGCTGCTTTTCGTTTGCTTTTAACTCTATTAACTTTAGCTTTAAAAACCGAGAATGAAAAAAGATACGATTGTGTGGAAAAAAAGACAGATGGATCGTTTCACATCGATTTATTTATCATACTTATGCTGCACCAAAAGCGATTAAGAGAGGATCCGCCATTGGATCGAGTAACCACGTACTACCAAAACTTTTCTCTTCATTATTCTGGGGTGAGTGTGGGTGTGAACGAATGAAACAATTACACTCCACACCCGCACCCACAGCTTCAGCCACATCCACACTCACGCCTCTACACCACACACAAACCTGCTACCCACATTTACACCCACACCCACACCCACACTCACCCGCACCCGGCACCCGTCCGCACCCCAAATCCACCCACAACCATACCCACACCCACCCACACCCATCCCACACCCATCCCACACCCATACCCACACCCGGGAAACTGTTGAATATAAAATACAGTAACAAAAAACGAAGTTTAATGCTCAGAAAAAATAACATAAAAACCTACAAAATGATATTGTTGTTGTAAATATCAGGAGTTTGAGAAGATATGAGTTATTCAAAAATCGAATAACATTCTTTCTTTGGCATTCTTACATGGTTTCATAGAGCTAGTCGAGCTCTACAAAATTGTTTATATTGAAAAATTTGCAAACCTTTTTTGTGGAATAAATTTGCAAAAAAAATCTCATATTTATGTTTTTTATATGAAAAACCGACAATTATTTTTTGCGTATAATAGAAAACCAATTATTTGTACGGTCGTTGAATAAGGTTTTATAAATCTATCCCGCAAAAAAGGTTTAAAGATTTTTCAATATAGACAATTTTGTAGAGCTCGACAAGCTCTATGGAACCATGTAAGAATATCAAAGAAAGAATGTTATTCGATTTTTGAAGTACTCAAACTACTGATACTTATAACAACAATATCATTTCGTAGTTTTTTATGTTATTTTTTCTGAGCATTGAACTTCGTTTTTTGTTAATGTATTTTATATTCAACAGTTTTCCCTGTTAAAGATAAATATAGATCGTACTCGATCCCTACTATTCAAGAATAAGAAAAAAATCTAGTAATATTGAGTAGTTTAAATGTATGACTCAAAACAAAAAAGTGATATCACACTTTTGTCCGGCACTGTAATTCCTGTCCAAATGATCTTCAACGAGATTTTATTTTAAAGAATCCTTATATAAATCAACATTGAGTTTCCAGTATTTAAATTCACTCGTGCTGATTATTCGAATTAAACTATACCCAAACTTCCGCTCCTAGTGGTGCACCAACGATTAGCATTCTCCATCGATTATATTGTCGTAAATCATACGTTAATGAACCTTGAAATTCACCAAAATCATTTGAATGAAAAACATCAACAATTACTTTTGAAAATAAATGATAATGGTGAACTAAAAAATAAATATTAAATTAAATAAGTCTGTTCGTAATAAAACTTACTGGTACTTGGTTGAAGAATATTGAATGAACAGCAGTTGTAAATAATCAATTAAAATAGGTATGATCAATACGAAAAGGACAGATATACAATATGTAACCAGGTAATATAAAGAAAAACAAAACAAAAACAAAAACAAGACTGTATACAAATACATATTTCATTTAGAATCAAATAGTCATTTTTTTATTAATTCGTCATGTTTGATATTTGGTAAAACTGTTTCAAGAATAAATGTTCGAAATTGATTTGATTTAATTGAAACATATTTATTATATGCTTTTTTATTAAAAAAGATATCATTTTCTCTTCCTTTTCGAGAGTTATTTACACCAATATGAACACCGGCTAAACTTCCGTAGCAGTCCAATATAAATGAACCACTAGAACCAGGTAAGGTGCTACAGTTATGTAAAGAATATTGATCATTTTCACATGCTTCTTTTATAAGATTTCCTATTGAAATAGATTTGTAATTAACATGATGATAAAGATTCAGCTTTTCGATTGTTAAATCATTGAAATCTTTCAAATATTGGTAAGGTTTTAATTCATCTTGATCAATTAATTCCCCATTGTATCCAACGAGATATAGTTTTGAATTTAGTGGAACATCAACTAGTTTTGATGATTTTAAATCGAATTTGGGATCAAAATATTGATCTATTGTTACATTTGCTACTTCATTATCTAATTCAAGTAAAGCAAGATCTGTATAATTATCTTTGATTTCAGTATAATCAGTAATGTGGTCCTCTACTATACCACGTTGAATTATTTTAGCTTGATATACAGTTTGATGAGGATTTAGAAACGAAAAAACTGTATCAGGAGCAGGATCACAAAAAGCCACTAATATTATAGAATAAGATACTTTATCAGTAGCCAATTGTACTGGATCAAATGTATGGCCAGATGTTAACAAAAGCTTATTAGTTATCAAACAATCACTGCCAAAGACCATTTCTGTTGTTGTTTTACGTTCGTAAAACACTGCAATTCGAAGAACTAGATGTCTGATAGATAATAAAGTTGATGTTATTGGATGTTCATTTGGAATTTTAGGTAAAGATATTTTACAATTTAATCCATCGTAAATATATGTATATGTTTTTTCAATGGAGTTGGTTTGATTATTGGAAAATGCTCTTTCATTACATACAAATTTGGGCACTTTATATATTCTATTTGAAATAATTTGTTGCTCTTCTGAACTAGACTAAAATAAAGCAAACAACTAGAGCACATGTTCCTGATTATAACGAACTTTTTACACATTTCTCTTTTTACTCTTTAATTTACTGGTTAATTAAAGTTGTTTAGAAAAATCATAGAAACTTTTTCACTTACCGATGAATTTAAATCAGTCATCTCAATAAAAATAAACACGAAAATTTTTTAATTTAATAGAATAATATATATGTAATATGAAATGAGAAGTCATTCTTCATGAAATCAAAATGAATATCAAAGAATAAATAATTCTTGATGAAATAAAGACGAATCTATAAATACCAGAGAAAAAAGGTGACTAAGCTAAAGAAGAAGTATGAGTATTTAACTCTAAAATGAAAAAAAAGAATATGATGCACTTCATGTTCATTCATTAATTAGTCAAAACTTCCTTTTGGAATATGGGAGACGAAAGAAACGTGGAGGAACAAAGTCAGAATATCACTGATTATTTCATTATTGAATATGTCGTTCTTCTACGAACAATCTGTTCATATTGATGAGATAAATATGAGATACAAATTAATCCTCATTTCATCCTCTTTTTCCTGTTCTATACTGGTCTTTTTATTAAAAATAATTTATTTTTTCAAAATTATGACAGATATTATGAAATAAATATTAAGACAAATAATTATTTTGTGGTTGCATATTCGTTAAATCTGTCGAATCAAATATGTACCTTTTGTCCTATTTAAAGAGAGAGATTCATGTTTATACGCCAATAAAATAATAACTTCTCAAATAAAGAAATGACTACATTAATGGATACATACCAGAATGTTAGCAGTTTTTTTTCTTTTGAACTTAGATCTTTTTTATCGTACACTTCCTACTGTCATAAAACTTTTTTTTTTATCTACGTACATCTGGATAAAAGTAATTTTCATTATCTGATTGTAATTATTTAACGCAAATATATTAAAAACAGAAATATGTTTCTCCATCGTTTACTATTCTTCTATAATAAACAATTGCTTTTTCTAGATTATAGATAAATAACCGTGTTATTAAATCAAAGAACTTCCAAACCAATAGATAATTCACACGAACCACATGATGGCTATCGATTGACGATACATCTTAGGCTTTCTTCAATTTGTTTATGTACTGATAAATATATAAGATTTATTATCGAGACAAACTAAATAACAGGTGAGAAAAAACTTAACTAAGAAACATATGGATACTACACTCTGAAAAAAAAGGTATTCTCGGAAACCATTTTTAGCCGGTTTCCGGGAATATCCTTTTTTTAGAGTGTAGCTGAGAATATCGGTTGACATTTTTAGAAAGTTCTGTTCATATGTTGTTAATCTCTTTTGAGATAGCATATATATGAAAAACGTGATTATACATCTGGCACATTATTTTATCAGAGATTTAAGGGTGTGGGTCTGGGTCTGGTTGCCGGTCATCTCTTCACCCACATCCTCGTCCTAAGAGAATTATCGATTTAAATATACAACAAATATGAAAGGTTATTCTTTGATTCATTATTCATTCTTAACATAGAACAAAGGATCATTTTATTGTGGGGTGTGGGTGGGGTCTGAGTGTGGTTATCAGAATATGATTCACATCCACATCCGCATCGACACACACCCTTCTGAAATAGGTTGTCATCGAATTTTCATTCCAGTGGAACCAAAAGCTAACTTTACTAAAATCGAATCGAAGGGAAGCAACGGTAAGAGTTTGATAAAAAATACTTAAATATAAAACAGACTATCAAAGACTAGTTCATTTTACAGCGCTTTGCGACCAGTTCTCAAGAAAATTATTTTAAGAAAACGATACTTAACTTTTTTCTAGACACTCGAACACTAACCGTAGGATTAAATGAGCTCGTACGCTTTAAACTGAAAAGACTTGATTCTTTTACGGTTCAACGAGACACCATTTCATAGACGTCATTTGAGTTCAAAATATTATACATTTACATATTATTTTAACAACATCAAAAATTTAGTTTTTCCAATCGATGTTTCTTAGAGAATTAGGAAATAATATTTGGAAGCCTTCTACAGGACAAATAAAAAACATATTCATGCACATATGAAAATGGCTCATTTTTTCAATGGTATTCCAAATTGTAAGTTTTATCCGAATTTTCTTTGATTGCCGCTTGCAAAAAACGTTACGAATTAGTCTGCTTTTAGAAGAATCACTATACTCTTTTTTTCCCATATAGAGTGTTTGAATTGCCTGCACCGTATTTCTGTAGAACACTTCTTCGTGTAAACAAATATGTATCAATCCAAGTTTTTAACACTACATTATTTTCTCATAAGGTTATGCATATATTTTTCTTACTGATTTAATTCAAAATTCAATCAAATTCATATAAATACAAAAAAAATGTTTCTTAGTCCCTACAGATCGGCGTGATGCTGGCACTTTAAGGTAATATTGATGCAATTGACAATTTATCGAATACTCTGAATTTTCTTTCTAGGCACAACAATCCATTCCGATGAATGGAGAGCCTATCAAGCCCTACAAAATAATCTCGAGTATATTCACTGCACGGCCAATCATTCCATCAATTTCGTCGACCCCAACACCAGGTCCATACTCAACCTGTTGAAAACGGCTCATTCTCAAAAGAGATACAATTTCTTTTTGTGTATAATTAGCATCAAATGACTTCGAAGACACTTGTTCAATGATTTCCTAGTCTAACTACTAATCATTGTCATAGCTATTTAATACTATCATAGTGACCTAAAGATCTTGTAGCTATTTAACCGTGCCATAGCTATTTAAAGGCTTCCATAGCTATTCAACCATTTGTATAGCTATTTAGTCTTTCACATGGCTATTTAAACTTATCATAGCTATCTAGAGATCTTCTAGCTATTTAATGTTGCTATGGCTATTTAATCTTATCACAGCTATTTAAAGATCCTATAGCTATTTAAAATTGCTTTAGCTATCTAATGACTTGCACAACTATTTAATCATTTACATGGCTATTCAATGCTATCATAGCTATCTAAATATCTTGCAGCTATTTAAAGTTGCTATAGCTATTTAATAATTTCCATAGCTATTTAATCTTTGACTTGACTATTTAATGCTATCATAGTTATCTAAAGATCTTGCACCTATTTAAACTTGCTACAACTACTTAAAGATTTGCACAGCTTTTTAATGATTTACATGACTATTTAATCCTATCGTAGCTATCTAATGATCTTGCAGCTATTTAAACTTGCTATAGCTATTTAATGCTATAATAGCTATCTAAAGATCTTGCAGCTATTTAAAGTTGCTATAACTATTTAAAGGTTTGCACAGCTATTTAATGAATTGCATAGCTATTTAATGCTATCATAGCTATCTAAAGATCTTGCAGCTATTTAAAGTTGCTATAGCTATTTAATAATTT